GTGTATGCCCTTGAGAGCATTGCCGAAAAGTATGGACACACCGTACTGAGACCGCCCCCATATTTTTGTGATTTTAGTTCCATAGAGTTGATTTGGGAAAAATTGAAACAAAGGCGTAAAAATAATTTTCCAAAATTTGATAAGAGGGTAATAGAGTTAATTAAAGGAGAAGTATCTAATATTAGCGAAGAAGACTGGCAGAAAAGGATTAAAAAAGTAATTTTAGTTGAAAAAGACTATATGAAGATTGGAGACTTCCATATTAATGGTGGAAATAAATTCATTATTGATTTAAATGATGACAGTGATAGTGAAACAGAGAATATAGATGAAGAATTATCAGAAGCTTTCTAAGAAAGTTAGTGAAGTGTTTTTGAAGCCATAGATTGTTTATATATGTGGGTGAGTGGTATTCAGAAGTATTTTCATTTATCACCCTGTTATCACTACTTTCCCACTCACCTATATAAACGAAATATTGTTGATTAGTGTTCGTACTATTACTATCGATGAAGCTATGGTGTTAGCGAAACGAAACTAGAATTAAAAATACTTGTGAAAATTTACTAATCATTATCATTGATGGCGTTATTAATTTTCGTCAAGTAACGGGTCAGTGTATTTATAATTCAGTAATGGATTGGTCAATGATGGGAAAATCCTGAATTGCTTAACAGCACATGCCAATTTCGAAAATCTTTCAAGCTAGTCATTTTATGAATACTGGTTTTCTTATCCATTCAACATGTTGCCCAAAATTATTTTATTGTCTGAGATCCAGCTACAATCTCTAATCAAATTAAACCGTTTGAATTAATCACTCGACTAAGTAAATTTGAACATTTGTATTCTATTATCCGCTATGTCACCTTTTCTGAGTTTTATATAACATTAAAATGACACACATTATGCTGAATTTATAGTGATACGAAAACCAACAATTTCCTTTCTCTGTTCATTTTCTGATTGATGTAGTTATTTATAGTTCAATTTGATGTTAAGTTAGGTCAGAACCGAATTACGCCTTTCTCTTATTATTGACACACGCTAATGTAGCTTTACGGAGTATTCGAAACTTATTTTTATGTAATTTCAATTAAAGCAGTCTGTATACTCATTTGAAAAGTATAATAATTTCATTAAAGGTTACTGGGTTATTTTATTTAGTTTCTTTATATCTCTATAGCCAATATAATGAAAAAAATTGACTATTTTGTTGTGACTTCACAAATTTGCTGATTACTTCTGATATCTGATCATCTTCACTTGTGAAAAGTGTAGTGAAGAAAATATTTTGTTTCTAAAAGCTTATCAGTTCCTAAAATTATTTCACGCATAAAAAAGTGTAATGAGGTTAGGCCAACTTGTGTTTGGTTTCTCAGAAAATTGGTTCACTATTTCGGACCAAAATATCTTTAAAGGCTTCAGCAACTTTTGATGCTGAATAAAACTCAAATCAAACCTTCTGGCGACTCTCAGAGACTGCTAGATTCTATATAAACAATGACCATGCACCTGATTAAAGACTCAAACATCACACACTTAATATCGAAAATTTGTTTTTTCCATACAAATACATGAGAGAGAGTTTTTCCTTTTCCAATTCCTTTACCGATGTCAAGTCGAACCTAGTTTCACAAATATCAATGAAGAATTTATAGATAGCTGACGAAATGGAAAGACTAAAAAAAGCAGCCAAGATAAATTCATGTTGCTAATTGGAATTGCTAATCGTCATCTATCTAAAAGATTTTCAGCGTATCATCACCATGGTGAGTAGTTGTCATCTTCAGCTGTCATTTCTAAATATACTTGATATTCATTCCATTTCCACTTGTATCTTGTTACGCCCATAGAAAATCCAAAAAGGCGAGAGAGTGAACATACTGCTCCTCAAATTAGGTTATGTACGGTTAGGTTCAGAGAGAGTGAGTATGTGACCCCACACCAATTCAAACTCCACCAAATAACTCCAGCTTCTTAGCAAGTCTATTAGTTCGTTTGGTGAGTGATTATTTCTCATGCCCGATGGCGAGAGCGAAACTCTGCTTAACACTGAAAACCTGTCTTAGGAGGAACAAACTATGTGCTTGCTGTTCCAAACACAGACGGCACGTCGAATATCTCGACATTAGTGACAGTCCAATACTCTTCATAAGATAATTCAGACGACAGTGACCTGTGAAAAGATATATTGGACAAGTTACATTATTCCTGCTGTAGTCTAATAATTATTTGGTGAGATTCTTAAAAGTTTGTATGAATGAACCAATCATGGTAGATTTAGACAGAACTCTTTCTGAAGAAGATAGTAACACTGAACTTAACAGATATCTTATTCTAACGGTGATAAAACGTACAAAAACATTTCATGCTTCCTCACACAGATGGACTTTCAGATCATGAAGACATCAAATGTACTATAGATCTCGATGTTATGAAAAGTGATAAATGTAAATATGGAAGACTATACAGCAGTGCGAATTATAATAGGTTCTAGCGAAACGGTCTTGAACTTGACTAGAACAACATATCCCAAAATCAGAACAAAATATAAAAAGCGTAAATTCACTGATAATCCTTACTTTCATTTACATTTTAATAATTATAGAAGAATTCACAGAAATACCATCAGACTTGCTAAGGAAAGTTGGTTTGTCATAATTGATTTGAAAAATAGTACCAAAACTGGCCGAGATATTGAAATACCAATCAATGTAGACAATATAAATGAATTTTACTATTCGATTGGACAGATGATCAGTCAGAATATTGTGGTACCATATGACCCACTGATTAATTTAGAAAATGTTGCAATCAATGAATCTCTCCAATTGGATGATACGAATATTGATAAACTATTTGATTTTTTTAGTGATATAAATAATAAATCTGAAAAAGGGGTTAGTTGGGTAATTAAATAAACAATAAAATCAAGATCTGGTTATGATGAAACTTCAATTAATATTATTGAAAATCTTTCAATGAAAGCGCTCAAAACTAGTTGAGAAATGACTAATGAATTTCTCCTTCGCCATAACATTATAGGAAGAAATCAATTTGGATTCCAGACCAATAAGAGCAAATGTGATGAATTATTCTCATTTCTGTTTGAGGTGTATTCCAATATGGATGCTGAAGATGCTCCTGCTGCAGTGTTTTGTGACGTTACAAAAGCGTATGACTGCGTTGATCATCAAATACTGCTACGTAAGCTGAATAGCTATGGATGTAGAGGGATAACACTACGGTGGTTAGAGTCGTATCTCAATGGTCGCAAACGTATTTTAAAAACATATTTTTCATAGATTTTCACTAGATAGTTTTACAAAAACGCAACACGTGTTTCGCCATACGATGGCTTCCTCGGGCGTGTCTTAATAACTCAGTTATCAAGACACGCCCAAAGAAGCCATTGTATGGCGAAACACGTGTTGCGTTTTTGTAAAACGTGTAAAGTGTTTTTAGAATACGTTAGTTAAGGATTTTCATCAAGTATCGGCCGATTCCATCATATATTAATGGTCGCAGTCAGATTGTAAAAACGACTAAATGTTCAAAAAGTACTGAAATAAATACTGGTGTAACACAGGAATCAGATCTCGGTCCCATATTGTTCCTGTTTTATATCAACAATCTGAAACATTCACTCTTTTCGCTGACGATACCACTATATTGTGGCATAGTAAAGGTATAGATATACTCAATGGGACATCGCTCACGATATACAAAAAATTAAAAATTGGTGTGATTCCAATCTACTCTTCCTTAATATTTATGAAACAAATATTATGACTTTTAAATGTTTACTTCAGAATTTATCTGTAGCGAGCGGTATCATTGAGAACAGAGAGTGTAGGTACTAAATTTCTGAGACTGTATATAGACGGTAAACTGAAATTTGACACTCACATCAGAAAGTTGAAAAGCAAAATTTCCACCGGCTATTATACAATGAGAGTTATTGCTAGAAAACTGGGAATTTATATTGCGAAAACAGCATATCACGTTTTGGTAGAGTCTCACTTAATGTACGGTATACCTTTTTGGGGTATGCGTAGCCTTAATTTGCTGGAGTCTGTATTTGCATTACAGAAGAGATACTTGTGTAAAGCTAAACTTCGTGACTCATGCAGGCAACTGTTTATAGATTAAAAAATATTGATGGTTGTAGCTCTTTTTCATTCTGGAGACAGTGTTTTGATTAAAAAATATCTGGTGGAACTTGAGGTTACCACTCATCACTATACAACTCGTCAGAGTATACAACACAATTTGAAATTACCTACCCCTTGCAATTCTCTGGTCGAGGACTCCTTATTTTACAATGGTGTGAAGATGTATAACCATCTGCCGAATTACAAAGAGACAAATATTGATACCAATCAATACAAAGAAATAATTAAAGAAATTTTGAGTAGTAGTTTTATTGATTTGCAAAGCATAAAAACTCAATGTCGCCTCCACAATTCATTATCACCCTCAGATGTTAGAACGGTAAAACCATCAATCATCTGAGGGTGATAATAAATTGTGGAGACGACTTTGACTTTTTATGCTTCACAAATCTACTACACTCCACTTCGCGATATAATGGACTTCTACCACAGGTCCGTTTGACTGAGTTCTATACCGATCATTTTTAACCTAGCATGTTTAATGTGTATGTATGTTTCAACCATTGTCTATGTTTTTTATTCAGTCTTTTTAATATTTTAGTTTACATTATATTTCATCTATATTTTCACATTCATAGGAAATTTACATATTTTTTAGATTTATTTAATAGCTTTGTCAACAAAATTATTTTCTTTGGAGAGTAAAGTATAATCATCATTAACATAATGCAACTGTTATCTACTGCACTGGATGTTATTTTAGTATGTAGATTTATTGATAAGGTGTTCACTTGTTTGAGAAGAAATCAATAACATCACGTATTTCATCAACATCAAATTCACTTATGTGACTGTACTAAAGATTGATGAAAATAGACCCACCTTGGAAAACTTTGTTGATTGAATCCTGGGTACTGAAATTGCGGTTCTAAAAATGGAAATCCTCCAAATTGTAGATTTGATTCGAAACCCTGCTGCGCTTGCTGTCTTGCTGATTCCTTCTTCTCATTTTGCTGCTGTGGAGTCGTCTGAGATCTTTCTACGATGAATAGAAGGGGTTTGATTTCCTGTGGGTCCACATTTTTCTGATTCTCCTGACGAGCTGAGGCTTGTGTGAGAGCAGTTGTGGTTAAGAGGAGCAAAAGGTAGTGAATCATTTCGTCTGAAAAAATAATATTTTGCTTAAGAAACCACTACCGACATGGATGGAAAAAAAAACGCTGTACCTGAAAAAATCCGAGGCCCGAGAGATTGCATGGGAATTAGTCTGTAAATTCGAGCGAACCAAGCGAGAACATTGTTTTCATTCTGTTGTTCATATCCAGATCGGAAAAGGGGTGATATTTTAATCACAGTAAAAATCAACCAGTAAGTCCAAGCCCACTACTTTCATTCATAAATTCACAAAGTTCGCGGTAACTTCAAAACGAAGTGCGGAGCTAATTTCGTTCTTTTACCAAAGGCGTGCGCTCATATAATAATGTATTTTTTACATCTCCCATGTTCTAATACCTTAATAATAAAACAAACAACAATAACCAACTAAAAAAACAAAACAATAATAATAACAGCGAATAAACTAAACACAATATCAATTTCCAACCGTTTATTATAACTAATCCGATGCCCGTGGTACCGTCGAATCCTTCGATACTACAGCACAGAACGCGTTGAAGAGCGGTTGAAGGTCCCCGGCAACTCGGGCGGATCACGTGGTAAGAGAGCCTACTGGTTATATTATTCTACTGTGGTTTAATTGTTAAGTTCAATGGTGATTTGATGTATATTTGGGTAAAATATATTTATACCATTATTCTATCTGATTGTCTTATATTTGGACTTCTGTCCATAACTGAACAGCAAATTGAGTTTATTTATCTATGGATACAGGTATGGATAGTTTTTATTTTGTGCAAAACATTAAAAATGATGTGAAACAAAGTTATTTTCGAAATAAAGTAGCTGATATTATACTGGTGTCACTAGCTTAGGGATATATACTTAATTGACTCACAAATTGGATTTATTTCTGAAATTTAAAGTATCGATGATGGATCACCAGTATACATTGGTGCTATAAATACCCTGGATAGCATTGCAATTTGAACGATTGTCTTCACCATAATGGCGATGACCAAATGAATGACTAATAGGTATTACCAATGAAATAATCCAATCTTATACATTTGTTAGTGAAGCCTAATTCAGATTTTTCAACCACCTTCATATGAATCTGTGTGTAGGCGCTTCATATGAGGGTGTTTTCAACTGTTATTGAAATGTTTTTGTTCTAAAATAACAAATTCACAGTCTATTTCTGTTTTTCCGTTAACCAGCTGTCGCCCCCTCTCCTACCAACGACAATTCTCAAACTTCTACTTGTGCAAGCTAAGGACTAAGGAGGTCTTACCTTTTAACGTGTGATTCCTAATGCAATGGAAAGATATATCTGAAAAATAATTGATAGAAGATAGTTGCTGGAAAAATGTAGATGGAAGAGAAGTAGACCGTTTCTAATAGCATGAGAATACAAGTGAAAACTGTTTACTAAATAAAAAAAATGAAATAAATTCAAAGGAAATAAAACACCAAGAACATAGCAGCAGTGAAAACCAAATGAGTCAAAATAAAAACTGGATACATTAAGAAAATAGATAATAAGAAATCAAAGTTAAAGAACAATAGATTGATAAAAGAGAATATTTTTCACAGATTAGCTGTCTAGTCTAATATTTGGGGTAGAAAGCATGTGAAAGTTACTGAATTCAGTGAAGTATCTGGTTGGTTTAATTCAACAATCAAATTAAAAACTATTATGTACATGTACAAAAAACATTGTACATGCAAAACATACGTAAATCCTAGATATATTTAGTGCCAAATGCACCAGAATCATTTCTGTTAGTACTAACAACAATGAAAAAAACTAATGAAAATCAAACTGTATGAAATGTTCATTTACATGAGGCAATTTGTGTATCAAGTAATTAAATATTGAGTTTATTTATATAATCTAGCGCGGAGAATGATTTTAGTGAATTGGTAATTCGATTATAAAGCCAGGCCACATTATGAGAGAAGGATCCACGAAATAAAGTGGTTCTGTGGCGGGAGGTAGTTAGATGATTTCTGAATTTCACATTCAAATTATGGATGTCTGTTCTATATATTATTTGGTCGTGAAGATAACTGAGTACTTTTGTTGTTATAATCTTGTGGTAGGTGATACAAGCAAGAAATATGCGTCGAGCTTCCAGTTTTAGCCATCTCAGTCTCTCCAAATGATGAGACACGTGTTGTCCCCTCCTAGTTCCTGTATGAGGCATGCGTTTTGTGGGGTCTGTATTATCTTTTTATCAGATAAACGTAACACTGGTCCATGTACTATATCTGCATAGTTGGCGTGAGAGAGAACTAGGGCATTGCATACTATTTTCTTCAATTTTTGATTCAATGACTTCCTATTTGAGTATATTCATTTCAAATTACTATAGCCACGTTTTACAATTTGGGAGACATGAGAGTTGAACTTAAGGAATTGGTCAATTATGAGACCAAGATTTTTCGTAGATTCTGTCAAAGACTCGTCCAGAACGATATCGATATTTCTCTCACATCTTTTCGTCATTGCTGTTCGACCGAATAGCATCAATACTGTTTTGGAGGGATTGATCGCCAGGCAGTACTTCTTTGAGGTTCAGCGTAGCTATGAATTTCGGTTCTACGCTTTTCGGAATTACGAAAAGCGTAGAACCGAGAATTGAACCTTGAGGTACACCTGCAGATATATTCAAGATATATTGAAACAAGAAGTGTTAATTCATTATTCATTTTCTTATAAATACTAGAGAGTCATATACATAATAACGTTTTGGCTGTAAGAAAATACACCAAAAATTGAATTCTTGATGAATATCCACAATTAAAGTAATCAAAAAAAACTTCATTGCGAGATTTTCACGAACAGTTTACTAAAACGAAACACGTTTTTTAATATACAATGGCTTCATCAGGCGTATTCATTTCTACCTAATTCGGTATAACAATTCGAATCAATCGAACTTCTACCAACTTAAGGACTATTAATTTCACCAGAGTTTAGGAATAAACTAAGTAATTAGAAATTCAAACATTATAAAAGAAATTTTACCAACTCCGTTTCATCAACTGAGTTTCACCAAACGAATTGCTGCAAACAACGTTTGAAAGATATTTTTGACTCAATTCTTTTCAAAAAACCATAATGAAAAGTCATTTATCAGGTCTAACTTAATTCAAGAAACGATAATTAGCATTTTTCAAAGAAATGAAAAAGTCTTGGACGTGGCTTCCAGAGCATATAATTATTTGAGCAAATGTATTAAAAAGAATCATTATGAATGAAACTTTAGTGTCGGATAGTTCCGAAGTATATGAGTTGACTTGTGGTTCTTGCCCAGAATTTTATATTGGCCAAACGGGGAGAACCTTTTCACGACGAATAAAAAAACAAAAGCATAGTTTTTCGAATCTATAAATACCTATTCCACATTCGCAAATCATCTTTTGGCAAAAGGGCATGAGTTCAACCACAACTATGACGTATTACAATTGGAAGAGAAAGGTTTGAAACTCAATTTTTTGGAATGATTAGAAATTAATAGATATAAATATACTTGATTTTTTCCCTTTTGATCAATCTGTTTTCTAATGTCGAAATTGGTAATTAGATGTCCATTTGATGAGTTGATGCAAATTCTTTCATAACGTTCACATTTTTGATCCGTTTGACCCCAAATTTTGGTATGATTATTAGTAGGTAAAATGCCTTATAAAGCACTTATTGGGTAGCATTAAGTTAATATTGAAACATTAATGAAAAGGGAAATGAAAATTTCTGTTTTTAACACTTTTATTTCTCGAATACTGTCACCATCAACGCTGAGATTCCCCAGGGAGCCATATTGTTTCCAATCCTCTTTTTATTTTATATCAATATGTAACTTTTCTTGCCGGATATTGAAGATCTAGACGTGTTTTCGAATTGGGGTGAAAGTAACCAGGTTCAATTCAATGCCACGAAAACCCAGGCATCGGTTTTCTCCAAAAAGATAATCACAATCATGTCTCTGGAATTGCAAAAGTTGCTTCTCAAAATCTTTGAATATTATTCCGAACCAGAAACCAGACTGTGGCTGCTCATCGTTTTGAGGTTCAACTCAGTACACCTCGAACTTCACAGTTTAAGAATTCTTCCATTTTCCTCCAGCGATTAAAATCCAATATGAAGCGCTACTTTCGCACAGGCACCGCTCTTAGAGCGCCTTATAAATTAGTCGGAAAGATATATATATATATATATATATATTTTTTATTTAAACAAGAACCGCATCAACCACAGAGGTTATTAGCGGGGTACATTACAAGTTATAATATACACACATATATAGATATATACACACATATATACGAACTTCATATTCGATTGTATACATTAATTTTCTTTATGAATTGTATAATTTTCTCCACATTGTTATTCAAAGTAAGTTTTATGTTCTCGCTGATGTTCATTACTTTTCGTTCTTCATTGTAGTAGGGGCAGAGACATATGATGTGTTCTACTGTCAACGGTGTATTGCAAAATTCACATAATTTGGGAGTTTGTTTCTTGAATAAATGTTCATGTGTTATTCTGGTGTGACCAATCCTCAAAGATATATTAATCGTCATTGATGATTGAAAAATATTAATAGTTGCATGACAGAACTATTTATACTACTTTGAAAGTGAATCTTAATGGAGAAGTAGAAATAAGAAAGGAAGTTGATACGAGGAAAGATTCTTTCGACTTCACACATCATCATTGATGTAAAGAGAAGCAGAAAGATTAATTAACAATGAAATTCAGTTTTTTTTTACATGGCGAAGTTAATATTATAATAACGAACTGCATTACGAGGAGTATGTAATTATGCTGGTGGATATCTTACCAGTTTTTCTGAATCACAGTTAATTGGAAACTTTGGAAATCTGATTAAAAGTTAATAATATACAACAGACATGCAAATAATCACGTTGAGATGAAAGATGAAACTTGTCGATATATAATTTGATTCACTCGGGATACTATCACCGTGTAAATCTCAACTGATGAATTAGAATTATTGCAGAAAGAGTTTTTTT